CCCCATGCTGCTGCACTTATTTGTGCCTGGGGACTGATTGTAAGTCATTCACCACATAGTGTAAATTCATCACATGAACTGAGTTAGTTCTAACACCTAACTGAGATGTGCTGGCAGCCTAGGATCTAGAGAGGGACGGAGAAGATGGGCTGAAGGCAAATTGAAGGACAAAGAAGGACAAGGGACTGAAATGGGAAGTAGAGGGCTGTGCTGGGTGCCAGACTGAAGGTGCTCCCAGTTCTACTTGAAGCTGTGCACAGCAGTCCAGGAGATGTGGACTGAACTCCATTTAAAGTCTCCAGAAATCTTCAGTTCTGAGGGACAGTTGGGGACTTGAGAAGAAAGAAATGCAGACAGGTGTGCTCACCTTGTAACTACTGTCCAGGTTCTGGCTGAGGCAAGTGGGCTGAGAAAACAGGTCTTAGGGTATGTATTAGAGGAACCCCATTCGGCCTTAATTGTAAATTTTCCCAGCAGTGAACTGAGATTCATTGGTTTAACCAAGCAAGGCTCAACTAGGGGTACATCATGTCCTGAACCAGGCAAACTCTCCTAACACCTGGATGCAAAATGTTTTCCTTGCAGTTACAGAGTACAAGTAGCTTTCTGTTTTCTTAAAAACAGAGGGGTGTATGTGGAATATATATCATTAGGTCCATTAACAGAGTTTTTCCTTCTCTCTTTTACTTTTTTACACTCAAGAATTCTATTATAAGGACTAATTCTGGATGAATTCTTTACAATAAAAAGTCATGAATTCGGGGCTGGGGAAATGGCTCAGTGGGTAAAAGCACTTGTTTCCCCAGAACACAGGTACAAAGCTGGCTAAGTGGTGTGGTAGACTGCTTGGAATCCCAATGCTCAGGAGGCAGAGACAGGGAATTCCTGGAACAGGAATGAAAAGCCACACTAGCCAAAATGGCAGCCTTCAGGTGCCCTGAGAGACCGTGCCTCAATATATACAAGGTGGAGGGCAACTGAGGATGATATTTCTTGTCAACCTTGGGCCTCCACATGCACACACACATGTATGTGCACCTGTACATATTCAAACACATCTACACATATATGCACACCACACACATGCATATACAAACCCCTAAACGAGTCGTGAAATGTGTACTTTTGGGAATATGAGATCTATTAATGTTTTCCCTCACGCTCAAGGTTGCTCTTCTAATTAAGTTCAGAAGAATCTGAATGCATGTGTTTAAGAGCTATCTATATCAGTCACCAAGAATAAAATCAGATTAACAATGTAGTCTGATGTCATGTGAAACCAACACAGTCCATTTTCCTTCTTATAAACAAAAATGAAATGGATTGGCTTAAAGAAACCAAAAAAAAAGGAAAAGAGAAAAAAGAGCTATCATTTAACTCTGTACTATCAATTATTGTTGTTAACTTTGTTCAGTCTGTTAATAAAACATTTGACATGTCTATTTTTTGTGCATTTCATATAATAGATCTTAATCAAATTTAGATCCCTCCATCTTTACCCCTGATACCTCCCACTGGATTTCATGCATTCTGTCATATTTGATAAGTCCTATCCAGCCAATCATTTGTACCTAGATGTCCCTCAGTGCAAGTTCACCCACTGGAGTCTAGTCAGCCTGTCTGGTGTCACTTCCTTAAAGAAGATCTATTCTCCCTCACCCTGTAATAATCAGTTGCCAATATTTCATTGGCTAGGGTTGAGGCCTGCTGCCCATTTCCCTCATTCTATG